CCGCACTCGACCTGGAAAGAGGAGTCAGCAGTGCCACCCTGTGGCACCAAGGGAAGTTTGCACCTTTCTAGAGCATACCTGCGTTTTTTTCCCCTGATAAGATAAAACTATCATGATTTTTGTACTTTGCACTAGAAATACCAAGTTGGTTTATTTTCCTGCAAACTACTTGCTTTAGGGTCCTGTGCCCACTTCGGATACGCAGACTAGTTTCTTTAATTCAGCAAACATTTCTTCATTCATCACTAACAAGGTGATTAGGATAGAGGCAGTGCAGGAGACAAAGCACAGCAAACTGGGCCCCACAGCAATCCACTCACGGTCGCATCTACAATAACACCAGCTACCATCTGGGGGTTTGCTGGGTGGCAGGCACTGTGTGAATTGTTTCCCAGATCTCACTTAATACTTACATGCTTGCAATACACACCTGAGCCTTGAACATGGGTTGAAACTGTTTGGGTCCATTCATATGTATATTTTTGTCACTAAAATTTACACCACATACCTGGCTCAGCTGCCTCCCCTTCCCTCGCCTCTCCCTCGCCTGTCTCTGCTACCTTAGAAACAGCAAAGCCAGTTTCTCCTCTCTCCTTCCTCAGCCTCCCCAGTGCGAAAATAGTGAGGATGGAGACTTTTTGATGATCCAGTTCCACCTAATGAATAGTAAATGTATTTCCTCTCCCTTATGATTTTCTTAATAACATTTTCTTTGCTCTAGCTTACTTTCTTGTAAGAATATAGTATACATAGTTGTGGGGAAGATGAATTACATTAGGTTTTCTCACCTTAAGGCCACAAGGTGCCAGGCCGGATGGCCGCCAGGTGCCCGATTGAAGAACCATGATTAAGCCGGCAGGTCCCACGTGTTCCTAAGTAATCGTCTTCAGAGTTTAATTTGGAGCCACTGTTGTTCTGGCTACTATATAAGGCCCGGGGTTTTCCACCTTAGGGAGAAAAAACGTTTCCTGTGCTAGCCTTCCTGCCCCAAGCTAAAAAGGCAGCTGTTGCCCATGCCTGTTCGCCGAACGCCAGGAGATGAATAAAGGGCATATCCCAGCTGCCTACGGCTCCTGGGTTCTTTTCCAGTTTGTCCAGATCCAGTGAGAACTTTCTGGCCTCTGCCATTGGCACTACAGGAGTATAATACATATAAAATATAAAATATGTGTCGGCGAGCTGTAAGACTTCTGTTCAACAGGGGACTATTAGTTAAATTTTTGAGAAGTTAAAAGTTATATGTGGATATTCGAGTCCATGGGGTGTGGGTCCCCCCACCCCCGCACTGTTCAAGGGTATTTGTTCCTGTTTTATAAGAAAAGTAAAGTGAAGACCGCTTTGAGTTTATGCTCTTAATCAGTTCTCAAAGTGATCTCAGAGGAGTCTTGACATTAGACTCAATTAACATGTTTGTTTTAGTTGGTGAACCTCAGAAACCCAGCAAATTAAACTTCCAGGGGTGTGGCATGTTCAACGAATAGCCCAAATTTAATATGCAGTATGGTTTGAGAACCATAATATGCTATATCGTATCCACCAAGATATCACCCTTCGAAGTAGGATGAGTTGCAGTCAAAGATTTGGTAGTATTATAGGGAGGTCTATGGGGTGGCAGTAAGAATAGATTTGAGGGGGTTTTGGTGGTACTTACCAGATTATCGGAAAATGATGTCACACTGAGATATCAATGCTAGCTATGGTGTTGTAAGTTCATTTCCTAAGTGACTTGCTCCTCGTATGGAATCTCAAATTCTTAACTCAGGAAAATTCAATTTTAAGAGTTGTATAGAATCCGAGTTAGAAATCTTGAACCAATTACTAAGAGGATGACTTAAATAAAATATGTAAAAGATAATAAACAGAGTCAAAACTGGAGCCTTAGAATAAGAATCATCCTTACAGCAATATTTTAAAATAATCTTTACATTGACCACTCAAGGAACTGTAATGAACTGGCCAATATACGGAGGTGGTCAGTGTAAGGAATTAGGCCTACTGTACTGATAGGTACGTGTGGTGCATGTCCACCTTCATGGTTGTGGTCAACTATGGAGGTTCTACTGTATTTAGAAGCTAGTACAGCTCCAAACAATTGTCTCTAAGTTCTTTCTGATATGTTTCTTTTTTTGAGTTGTTACTATCACTTTAAAATTTTCAGTTTTTACGTTTCAAACCTTAAAATCCAGATATTTTAGCATTGGTTATGCAAGTTGTGTTATGCCCCCTGGTGGCAATACGGGTAGAAAGATGAGAAGCGTATTTCAATCAAAGGGAAGGTGCCAACTTAATTGAAATAGGTGGCAGGCCCTGAACTTGAAATGGAATTTCATATAAAAATTTTCCTACCTTGCTAAAAATAGGAAACATCACGTTAAAGTAAAATCAGATGTATTAACTTCAGCCTGCAAGGTGCATATTTCAATTTCCCTTGCTTTGTCATAAAATGGATTAGCTCCTTGAAATATGTCAGTTGAACTTGAAATTAAATATTTGCTCTACATATAGCTAAGTACCTGAACTCCTAAGTGATAACTGAAGTCTGTATGTACATGGAATTTCCTTTAAGATCAGGTTTCAGCACAAGTCACATACACAGGATGCCACTTTCTTCTTTAGACTATTAATCTTCCTATATTAATAAACTTCAAAAGATTACATGGTCCATTTTCAAAAAGGCCCTGGAAGAAAAAAAATCTAAATTTTATAATTTATTCTTCCATCAAGACAACCAAACACAAGTTTTACTCAGAATTGTACCCAGGGCTTCTTGAATAAGGCTTATTATATGTAGAAAGCTTTTTGCCTTGTTGGGGGCAAAAAGAGATGAGAATGAAGGTATCAAACTACTAAAACATATGTTGGTATTCAGTGTGAGAAGATATATAAAAGATAGTGTTTCTTGCTGGATTAAGTTAAACCTGGCCTCAATGAGTATAATTTGGTCATGGGAGAAAAGAAATGGCTATTCCTTAAGTAAACCTTTTAGTGACTACCTGATTACTACGTGCTTGGTAATAGACTAGAAATACTAAAAGGTTAGTCATTGGCCTCAAGAGACCCAATCTAGCCTGTAATACTCTCATGCCTTTGTAGAGGTGGGTTAGCCAGTAAGATTACTGCCAAGTGTATGAGATGGGAAACGATGAGGATACAAACTTGCCACGCAAGCAAAGGAGATGCAAGGCGGAGATTTGGGTACCTTAATCTGTCGCTCTTACTAACTAAACAGACATGAAAAAGTGAGATGTAGGGGCATAAGAGAGAAAGTAGGTGAATTCCTTTTCCAATAATGGCCAAACGATGGTTAGTGATATTAGTAACCACACTACTTTTAAATATTTGATAATTGTATTTGAATCTAATTAGTTGCCTTTATAATCCTCTATTTTATTTCATGCATGAAATACATTATTCTGAAAGGGTCCATTCGTGTTCACCAGAATTCCAAAAGGTTTTTAAATACACTTACTGACCATGGGATATTCAGAAGATAAATAATGCCATAAGATGTACATGTAGTAAAAGTTACACAATGTTTACTTTGCATAGATTGAAGTTGGGTATAGACAAAATTTTCTGCAAGTATAGAGATTGTGAGGAAGAAGGCAAAGCGTGGAAACCGGGAGAACAAAAACACTTCGGAGGTGAACAGAGAGTGGGGCCCAAGGCAGGGAAATTACAAAGGAACAGACAGGGAATTAAAAGAACCAACAGAGTAGTGTTACTGGGATGAAGGGGAGAAAGTATCGGACAGGTAGAATTTTGAAAAGATAAAAAGTATCTATATAGAATGTTGGTAACTAGGAATTTTGGGATGACCATTGAAAGTTTAGAGGATTAGTACAGACAGAAGTAGCAATGCCATGATGGACAGGACATAGATTTACAGGTATACATTAGGTTTTCTAGAAATTTGGTTGAGAAAAAAAGAGCAGTAGCTAATGGTAGAGACAGGTACTGGGAGGTTAAAACTTTTAAATGGGAGAGAGATAAGTTTATGTTTACACCTGTCAGCCTCATAGGCAGCCCTTTCTATAGATAAAAATCCATGACTATTTGAAGAGAAGTTAAGGAGAGGACAGGGCAATGGCTCGATTTTACATCCCCATCTCTCCCTCCACAGACACCTAGTTTTTATTCTGCTCCTCCCCCTATAAGACTTTCTTCTCATTGAAGGCCCCATCTCTACCTACAGTGTGTTTTTTGTTTGTTTTTTTTGAGACAGAGTTTCACTTTATCGCCCTTGGTAGAGTGCCATGGAGTCACAGCTCACAGCAACCTCCAACTCCTGGGCTTAGGCAATTCTCTTGCCTCAGCCTCCCAAGTAGCCGGATCTGCAGGCACCTGCCACAACACCTGGCTATTTTTTGTTGCAGTTTGGCCAGGGCCGAGTTTGAACCCACCACCCTTGGTATATGGGGCCGGTGCCCTACCCACTGAGCCACAGGCGCCACCCTACCTACAGCGTTTTATTGTCTCTAACAAAGAGAAAAGTCTCATGACCCTAAATACCAATACATAATGTGTATTTAGTGTCTACCAAGTGTCAGGCACTGATCTAATAATTGTGTATATTTTAACTCATCTTTCTCATAAAAATAAAATGGCATCAGTGAAGAAATAGACTACCACACTCAAACTTTCTCTTTCAGATGATTACATTAGAAAGTGTGGTACAGATGAAAATTCCAGACTTCACCGTACAGAACACAATTCAAATTCTGGCTCAGCTGTTGAATCTTTGCCGGCCTTCACAGTTACTTCGTCTCTAAAGTAGAAATAAAAATATGTACTTAGAGTTGCCCATGTGAGGATCCAATGAGATTCCCCAATACAATGCTTAGGGCACAGGCAGGGCTCAAAAATGCCCCGATTCTGTATGTCAACAAACAAAACAGCCATGATAATAACAAAAACATTTCAAAGGTAACTAGTTGTCTTTTATTCCATCTACTATTTACAACAAGGGGCAAAGTAGGGAAATGAATAGCTGCAGAAGTTATTTTAATTACATATTTATAAAAGTCTACATTGAATTCTTATTAACTATCCACTTATGAGAGTCCTTAAGAACTGACTGAGTCTACGTCATTTGGTACTTTTGATACTTGCATTAGCTTCAGCTTAACTATTCTCTTTCCAAATAGAAAATTAAAATATGAAAAGCCATTTACAAAAAGACATGTAATTCTGTCTAATCAGGTTGACGCTCTGAACATCTTCCTCTTCAGTTCAGCCACCTTCTCATCTATCTTAGCATAACAGTCCTCTGCTGCCTTTTCAACGCCTTCGTGATACTTCTCCAAAGCAGTTTTCAAGTTTAGAAATATTTCCTAATAGAAAATGAAATAGAATTAGAATTATTCTGTGCAACAACCTAAATTAAAAATGAGTTCCAAGAATTCTAGGAGTTGTATTCACGTTAATATTTGCTTTTATGCACATACACACCTAAACATGTATGCCTGCTCTTATTAAAAATTCATTCTGTGAGTTGTACAAATGCATCAAAAAAGTCTGCTACTTAGAACAAAGCAGAGACATGTGACAACGGTTAGGATTCCAAGACATTAAGAACAATAGTATTTATAATGACCAAAGAAAAACTTCACTTTAGAGTTTTCCATGCTAAACGTGGGAAATAACTAAATTATTCTAGATAAGCTATAACCTCTAAATTCGACCCTAATAATTTTTTTTTTTGAGACAAAGTTTAGTGTCCTTCTCCACTGCCCTGGCTAAAGTGCATGCCCAGCTAATTTTTCTGTTTTTCGGAGACAGGGTCTCAACTCTTGCTCAGGCTGGTCTTC